TCTTTTGGAAGACCAACCAAAGTAGTTTCGCTTTCACAACGAAACACACAGCGCCTTCACGACATGGCGGCAGCGGAAACAACAATACGACAGCGAGAATAAAAGTTAAGCCTTCTTTCTTTGCGTGAACATTTGGGCAGCGTTATGCAAATCTTCCCACATAGTGATGTAGATATGTGGGGGCGTGTTAGAACGAGCCGTTTTAGGTAGGCGTGGCTGACTCTTAACTTTTATAAAGAATATCTCTTTGGATTTGAGACTTTAGTCTTTGCAACTTTACAGATCTTCTTTATGCACCAAGAGCTTGTAACACTCCAAAGAGAAAGGAAAAATTTAAATTGCATCATATGACCCCTTTAACAGGTAGGCTAATTATGACCCAAAGGGCGTTCGATGGCTAAAACAAACACATGTATATCACTTCCAGAGAGGGAATGTTTCCTCACTAATGTTAAGAGGGGTGTGACTGGTTATCCCTTTGTCTCTAGGCACAGACTGATCTCTCTAAAGTTTAATATAATTTTGCATGATTTTCAGTGACATGATTTTGTGAATTAGGCTGTGTAGGCTATTTAATAATTTACATATGAATAATTAACATTAACTGACGTTTTTGAAAGAACGCCTGTTACTGTGACAGTAACATTCACTGAATGAGATATTTAATGAAATCACAGCCTTTTAAAGTTTAATCATCACATTAAGCCATATCGCAATTCTTGACTTTCCATTCATCAAATTTAAGACCTCTTGAAATCATAATTAAGTACTTTCTTGTACCATTTAAGACTTTTAATGGCCTTAAATTTAATGCAACTAAATTTAAGACTTTTTAAGGACTCGCAGATGCCCTGATTTTTAATTCTTACAAAAATTTTATTTTTAATTTAATTTAATTTAATTCGTTTAATTTGTTTAGCTTTTCTCAATACACATTCTTTCAAAGCAGACTGACAAAGAATAACGCAAATGCTCTATTAAACAGACAAAAGCAACAGTGGAAAGGAGAAAATCTCCAGTAGATGACGAAGACACTATGAGAAGCTTAAGACTCTTGCAAAGGCCATATTAAATATACATAGTAATATGTAAAAAGAAAATAATACAAAATATACATGCATGCACAGGCTTCATTCTCAGTTTGGCATAGATATGCATGCTAAAAATACATGCTATTTTTACTGTGAATACTTTTTTTTTCTTTTTTTTTCTTTTCAAACAATAGTTGATGAATTCAAAAGTAACAATAATAACTAGTTGATGATTTATGATTGGTAAGCCTTAAGTAACCAGTCTATAGGTCACTTTAACTGTGAGTGCTGGTGTACGGGTGCAGTGCAAATGCTCATATGTTTTGTAAATTAAACATAAGCTGCAGAAATATGTTGACAGAATCCTGTTGCTTCTGAAAGCATAAGTAACCGGTGGCTTCACTGGATTCAGGGCCCCATACAATTTGGGTCCCTTAGTATGAAACTCTCTTCTTCAGAAATTGCTTCTTGATGACAGGAAGCATAATCAAAGCCAGAACCAGCAGAACTATAGTCAATCCAACAATCATAATCCAAAACCAAACAGCTAGAAGGGGACGGAGGGAAGAGAACACATTTTAATGTTTGTTTTGTTCTTTTTAAACCTGACTGTTTAAAGATTTTGTGAAGCTCTCAATGCCTCTTGATTTACTTACAGTGTTGTCTTGTGTTATCAGTTTTGTCATCATCTGTGTTGTAGTATTTTTCCTTTGATTCTGTGTCTGATTCTGTAGAGGATATCAAAAGGTTAATCACAGTTTAGCATATATTTGCTGTTCAAATCGTGATGAATAAACCTCAGCTGTCCACTTATTATACAAATAATATTTCTAAATATACACTGATCTTCTCTCACCTGTAACTGTCACTGTGATCAAGATTTCTCCTTCATAGTCCAGAACTCTGTATGTTCCTGCATCATTGGCTGTAAACTCTTTAATGCTCAGAGTCCCATCAGTGTCGGTCAGTTGATCGCTCTGAGCTCCGTTGCTTCTGCTCCAAACCTCCCTCCAATTTGTTTTGTTTCTGGTCCAGTGCACAACTTGATTAGCATTAGAAAGGACATCTAACTTGTGCTCCTCACCTGTTTTCACAGAAACCTCATCTGAGGAGAAACAGCATAAGCATATATGTAAGACCGGGGGAACAAATGTAATCATTTATCAGTGGGTAAAATCAGCCAATATTCAGATTAATCTGAATATTAGTGTCCCGTTCAGAGTCTCTGCTGGTTAGATGGTTATCACACAATTATTAAAGGAAATCCAGAAAACAGATGCTGGTAGTTTGACCATTTTTGACTTTACCATGAATATGAAGTTGGTACGTCCTGATTTGTCGCCTCAGCTTTGTCTGATCATTATTGTAATAGACATGCAAAAAGTACGTCCCAGCATCACTGAAGCTCAGATTCTTGAAGACGACGTCACAGTTTCCTTTTTTAAATACTCGTCCACTACATTCTTCAGTCTGACAGACAGGGATGTTTTCTGACCCATTGTTTAAACTAATATCAGAAATCTTTTTGGTCTCAAATTGACATGGCAGTGTGACGTTGTCTCTCTTTTTTCCTGACACAGATATAGTGCTGGTTCCTACAGGCGGGGCTCCTGCAAACACAGAGTCATTCAATACAACGTATCAATGCTAAAAAATACATGTGGTGTCTGTGTTTATTCTCTGTAATCAGTGTCACCATAAAATATTCTAGGAGAGTTATTTTAATTTAGTCAGTTGTATTTACTTTTGCTAAAGATGTTTCACTATCCAAGTGTCTTCAGCAATTGTGAACTGATGGATTTTCTTCAATATTTAACATCAGAAATGCCTGTAAAGTTTAAGGTTGTTGGTTCGAGCCATGCATGGGCTATTTCTCATGAAAAGGAAATTATGCAATATGCAGAAACATTACAGTATGAAAATGTGTCTATGTGTCCCTGCTGATTATTTCCACTTTCATGAGTTCAGAACTGTTCATCTTATGAGTCAGTTTTGTGTCTTATTGGTCTTTCAGAGTTCACAAACAGCCCTCATTCATGACAAAACAAAGCTAAAGCAGATGCGTCAGTGCAGATCAAGTGAATTCGTCAACATCCCAGACCAAACCATTTTTATTAATAGATTAATTAATAACTGCATAGATAAGTCAATGATGTCATAGTGTGTGATGATTTAATATGCTGAGAAAACTCTACCATCAATCCATTAATATCAACAAAATATCTTAACTTACCAAAAGAGAAGCAATTGACTAGAATAACTCGTTTTAGAAGTTTACACAATTTATGAACAAAAATGACACTGACCGCTCTGATAGATGAAGCAAAACAGCAGCAGAAGATTGAAGCGCTTGAACCTGATGAGAATACAGACAGCTGTTATGAGACAGATACAGACACACATCACACAGAGTTTAATACAGTGATAAAATACTACATAACTGACACAATACAGTCAAAACCTCCAGTTTCAATTTTATTTAGGGATTTATCACATGTGGGTCTTATAAGAAACATCAAACTATAATCTGAATCTTAGGTTTTATGTATTTTATAGATGTTCAGTGTAATCATCCAACTCAACATGATCCATCAAACCCAAATGTTTAATGGACACAAAGTCTAGAAATTCAGAAACCTGCTACCACGAAATCATTTGATTACAAAGAGTAAACAGTGGAGAACAACTGAATAATTACATTAATAATTCCACCGATAAAACCATCAACATCATCTTTGTTCGTCAGCATAATGATAAACATGTTAGCATCATTAGCAGGTTAACAGGGAAACATGTTCCTCAAACAAACAACACTACTGCTATAATAACACAAAACACACAAAGCTTTATTTAAGAGAATAAAAACTTACATTGTAAAAGTTCTGCATGAGTTTTACATTCTGGCTTTCTAAATTTCATAAACCACTGCACATTTAGCGAGAATTAAGTAAAAACAAAACTGAAAGTATCATTCCTACAGTTGAGAGCTTTCAGAGATAAAATGGTTGGATTCTCAAGGATGATTATGATTGGTCTTTATTGCCCTCTGCTGGTTATTCTATCAAAGCAGATTGAGCTGTGAGAAGATGTGTGGTCTATTAGCTTGCACAGACCATATGACTGATAAAACTTTGGCGTGCATATGATATGCATCTACCCCACAACCCTAATCCTACCCATCGCGTAGCATTTACACGCCAAAGTCCATTTTTTGTCCAATATATATATATTAAATAAATATATAATTCATACAAAAATACAAATCAATAAAACAATAAAAACTAAAATGTTTCTTGTAGTTTTTCACAACATGTTTCAAAGCAGATTTACAAAGAATAATGCAAATGCACTATTAAACAAACAAAAGCAACATATAAACATTAAACATATATTTAAATAGAAAACTGTAAAAAATATACATATGTACATGCACACTGTCTTTTTTTGCATGTTTACCATTTATGTTATGAATACAATTTTATTTTTATTTATTTATTTTTATATAGAAACAACCATTAATGGATTCAGTGGAAACAATAATTCTTAGCTGATCAGTTAGGATTGGTCATCTTTAATTACCAGCCCGCTTTACATAAATACTAAATGCAGATACAGTTCAGTCAGGACCTCTTAAGTCAAAAAGAAAACCATAGACAACCCTTTAAGGCCAGTTTTATTGGCATGTTTTCTAAAGTTACATTTGGCGGCATGGCTCTGTTCCAAGTTCCCTGTCCTCTTCATGAGCTCCATGAAAGCCAAGACAGGGAAACAGCAGCAGCTTCAGGGGCAACCCTCCTATCTTAAGAACATGAGAGCAGCACAAAAAATCCCTGAACAGAGCATGCAACAATGACAACAGAATGACATTAAGTTAAACAGAAGTTAGAGGAGGAGATGGGGAGGAGGTGGGTTGCAAGCAGCGTACAGAGGAAGCAGCAAAGCAAGCAGACAGAAGCTGCGTTTAAGTAAGCCGCCCTGTTTGAGATTTGCCAATTGAGTGCTTAGGAGTCGGATCAGCTGATAGGGACCGGGTTTGAATTGTCCCAATCTGCTGATAGCAAAGCTTGACTACGAGGCCTGCCTGAACTAACGCAGAATGCTTGATTTAACAAACAGAGGTAGGGGTCCAGCCCAAAACTGAAAATTAAAAATATATTGCAGAAATATGTTGAATCTTCTGCAGATCTGTTTGCTCTGAAGGCAAATTTACAAGTAACAGCTAGAATAAACATGATTTTTGTAAAGATTTTATTCCCCGAGTTGAAGTTATTTGCCTTCAGTCAGTGCTATGGAGCTAGTCTTTGGTCAGTCATTTAGAGCTGACAGATTTCACAAATAAATCATGTACTGTATGATGAGCACTGATTGATTTTTATTTTAGTTTTAGACTTTTGATTCCATCCAGTCTGAGGGTATCACGTGTGTGATATTTAGAGCCAGTTCTTGAACACATATTGTTTATAACGGTTCATAAAGTTGTTAAATGTGTGATGTTTACAGTGTTAAAAATATGTTCAAGTCGTGTGGTGAATTCCAGCCTTAAGCAGTGACGTCACTAATGTCCTGCACACCTGTACAGTTTAATCAGGCTCCGCCGGGCCCTCCACAGTCATCATTATGGGCCCTCAGTGTTTCTGGGTCTCCTGTACTCAGTCGCTCTTTTCCTCCTCGAGTGACACCCAGCAGGTAACCTCTGTGCAGACGCTTGACTTACAAGAGGGGACAGGGGATAACTTACAAGAAATTTCCAAAAGAAAAGGATTAAAAAATTTTATACATCCTTTTTACTTTCTTACATATTTTAAGGCCTCAATAAATGTAATGCTTTAGTTTGAATTTAATGTTCGTTTTATTATTAGTCTGTTTTAGTTTGTGTACATGGTATTTCACCTTCAAATAAATCACCAATTTTTTCTTCAAAATCCTATTTTTATGCAACAAAAATACATCTTTACCAGAGGGTCAAATATTTAATTCCGTAAATTTAAATATTAGATATTCAATATCGATTGAATATCTATTTACAACTGGGTAAATACACATTCATAAAATAATTGTTTTATGGATTCACAAAAAATAATGTATTCACAAACATTAAATCAATGTTCAAATCATAAAACAAATCCTGAAATTGTATCATTTATGTCATGATGGAAAATAGCGATTAGATAAATATTCTGATGTCGCTTTATGGTCTTTTTGGGGTTAAATTATGTTTTATGCAGACATATTTTGGGTCACCGCTCCCAGCAATCTATTGAAAATATCAGCAAAAGTATAAAGGAAACGCCGTTATAACAGCGTCTTTACATGCATTTTGACCGCTCCCAGCACCCATACCGTAAGTGCGCAAGCCAAGGAAAAGTGCGGCTGGCTTGATTTTCAAGATTTTCAAGGCTTGACCGCAGTGATACAAGGCCACTTCTTCACGTCATTCTCCCAACCATTTACCACCGAGGGTAAAGGTAAAGGTGTTATTTCACCCTTTTTAAGTTCGTTGAAGTAGTGTTCCCACATCGTTAGGAGGTTTGGATTGCTAAATCTTGAATGACTGTCAACTGTTGAATGAATGAGTGTCACGTCCCGCTTGTTTGCTTCGAACCGGAAGACGCTCCCACTTTTGACGCAAGGCCTCATGGGGCGTAGGAAACTTGTGGATAGAGCATGTGGCCTATAGCACTACAGTAAAATCCCAGGACAGCCCTAGTCCGAATGTTCACTGCTATTTATTACTCAGCATTGTCTGGCATGAATATCCATTCATTCATAAAGAGACAGCAGCAATTCTACAACGGGTTACATTTGAGAACTATTGAGTTAGAAAATAGAGTAAATATAGTCGCCTATAAGGTGATTAGTCTGATTAACATGAGACACACACACACACACACTCTCTCACACAAAATTGAAGAAATCTGTTGTTTCAGGTTTCTAGACTCTAGGTTTATGTTTATTATTGTCATATTATACATTTTGCATTCTGATCTTTTTATGTAGATTTAGAGAAGTATTTTAGTTCAGTACAGTAATGCTTTTATTTCAGTCCCCTGCTGAAAAAAACTAACAAACAACAACAACAAAAAAAGAATAGAAACCACCACATAATTTTTAATGGTTTTACTGGTTATAATGAAAGTTGTATTGTTTTTAATGGAAACTGTATGTATTTTAATGGAAATTGGTTGCCTTCTATTCATGGCTTTTGTTAAAGTTACTAAATCCTAATGCAATATGTCCCAAGAAAAACACTACAGGAAACCATTATTTAATGGTTTTACAGTTTTTTACGATTGCTGTAACAAAATATTGTTTTTATAAAGTTGTGTATAGTTTTGACAAAAGTGTTCCATTTTGCAAATGATCTGAAGTGTTGTGCTACTTTGGTGTAGGGTTGTGTTAATTGTGTGTAGTGTTTTGACAAACCGGGCCCTGTTTTCAAAATTATGCTTAAGCAATCGTAAAAAACTGTAATGGTGAAAAGTTGATGGTTTGTAATACTTGTAATGGTATTTGTAGTGGAAATCATTTGAATTTCTGTGATGGTCTCTTGTTTTTGTCTGCAGGGTCACCATGGGTTTTGTGATGTGGCACCAGTACAAAAGTCACTTCAGAGGAAAAAACAGAAGTTTTCCTCATCTGATTTCTAATCATGAATTGCATGATTCTGTAAAGCTGCACAAACACGTGTGTGTGATGATCACTGTGGGTTTGTGTCTGTTGATTCTGCTGAATGTGATGTCTGTCTGTAGCGGCTCTTTATTCACCATCAGCGATCAGAGAAGGTCAGACTAACATCTTAAAGCTGAAAGTAAAACACAAGCAAACGTGTGTCACATTACTGCATTATCCACTTTAGAACAACCAAAACAAACTATTTGCATTATTAGTCAGAGATTTATAAACTAACCCTGTGACATACGATTTTTAAAGCTCTTTTTGCATTCAGATTCTGATTTAGCATCCAAACCACCATAAATGATGACCCTTGACCCTTATCCATACTTTTGTTCTCTTTCTGTCACAGTTTTATTTATGACAATTATAGTAATTATAAATAGTTACCATCTTTCCATTAAAATTGACATTCTCTAAATATTTAATTTCATAATTTCAGATATAAAAAACAATGACTATAAAGTGCGTGCATAATTATTAGGCACGTTTATATTCTTATCATATTTTTTTTCCAAGCACATTTTACCAATTCAAACCACATCAATCAAGGCTGGAAGTGAAAAAGTCCTTATATTCAGGGGTGCAGAATTATTAGGCAGGTTTTCTTTTACAGATAAAATGAGCCAAAAAAGAGATTTAACTCAGACTGAAAAGTCAAAAATGATTAAATCCCCATGAGAAATATTCAAAACTAATGCAATACAAAAATTGCAAAGTTAAGGCATGACCATTGGACAGTGAAATGCTCACTGGGTCAGCGGGGTCAGAAAAAACAGGTGGAGAAGAAAAGACACATGTTAACTGCAAAAGAATTAAGAATTAATGTGAAGAATTAGGTGTGAAACCATCAGGAAGCATTCAGTCTCCAGCGCCAGCATTTTCCAGAACTGCAACTTTCCTAAAATATGACCCTCACTTAATAAGAATCACATGCTGAAGTGTTGTGAAATACATGAAGACTATTTTTATAGGCTTTATGGACAGATAAGTTTTGAGTTACCCTTGAAGGAGCATCACATCCTCTTGTACCACTGTTTGAAGAATTAATCTTCCAGAATCTGGCAGTAAGTTTTAGGAGCTCATTTTTAGTCAATCTCTTTTCCTGAAAAATCTGTCTTGCAGAATTGACTTCCAATTCAGTTTAGTATCCTAAAAGTATTGCACTTACAGGGTGCTTTTATTAAGTAAACAAATACGTGAATGAATTTGTACTATACTTAGCATGAAATAAATGTATTTCAAATACAAGTGTATTTATTTTTTCACTAGTGAAATACTATTATTTTTAAATAAAAAAGAAACGTCAAGATACTTAACTATAAACCGAATCAAACTCTTATTAAACATGTTAGTCACAATTACCAAGAAAGTAACCTAAGAAGAAGAAACTATATTAACTTTAATTTAAACAATCAAACATTTTGAATCATCACTACTCACTCTAGCATCTCCGGTTTATAATGTGGATCATCCTTCAGATCAGAGAGCAGCTTCACTCCTGACGCTCCTAGTTTATTTCCAGACAGATCCAGATATCTCAGGTGTGAGGGGTTTGATCTCAGAGCTGAAGCCAGAGCAGCACAACCTTCATCTGTGACTCCACAATCCCTCAACCTGTAGAGAACAATGACACTCTTCAGTCTCTCAGTTCAGGGTCTACAGATCAGATAAGCAGCAACTTCACGATTAACAGATCAAGTCTAAGGTTCAGACCCGCTTCTGATTGACAGAGTTCATTTCAATACCATAAAAAAAAGTATGTTTTTTTTCTTTACATGAAAACCCTAAAATCTTCAACACATCTGTATGATGTGAAAACATACTGAAACAAGGAAACATATTTCCTACATAGCTGAGTGTGAGCCTTTATCATTTCTGTTAATTTTTCAAGTGAAGGGGCACAGACGAGCATATCACATATCACAATAATAATAATGAGCCTTCTCCTGTCCTCATATGATGTTTGAAAAATGTATTTTTATGTATATTTCATAATAGGGAAAAAAGATTAAGGGTGTAACTATTAAAGGTTCAATTCACAATTTTGAAATCACAATCTGACACTCTCATAATACTACAAATTAGTCTTGTCACAGTACCAACATTTTAGTTGTTCACCAATACCATATTTGAAAATAAAAAGTATTAAGTACATTAAATCAGTATAATTAAGTTAATAATGATTAATTAATACTTTAAAAGAGAATGTAGCCTTCAAATATTTTTAACTTAAGTAACATTTAAAGAAATTAAACCTCATATAGAACAAATGATACGTCTATTAATCAGCATTTACACTCCGAGATCTATTGACATCAGATTTTATTATTATTATTATTATTATTATTATTATTTGTCCCATCCATTGCTATGGTTATCACTGTGGCAATCATCACAATTTCTGATTCAGATTTAAAATATTATTTAAATATGGTTGTCACTCCAGAAAATTTGCAATGTGTAATAATAACATCTCGGTTACGTATGGTAACCCTCGTTCCCTGAAGGAGGGAACGGAGACGTCACGTCGGATGACCAACGAATTGGGATCTCGCTTAGAGAGACCAATCTACTTTGAGTGTAAAATAAATGAGCCAATGCACATTGGCATGCGATTATTGCATCCAGCTGCCGCTGATCACAGCGTGAGTATAAGTAGGCAG